GGGGGGGCAGGTACGAGCTGGAGGCGATGACCTGGTCCCAGTCAGAGTTGAGGGACATCAGACAATCGAACGCACGCACCGCGCGCGCAAAGACCCACACCAACATCACCGCATCCGTCTATCGTGTCGGCACGACACGCACACACACACACAACACACACACACAACACACACACACAACACACACACACACACACACCACACACACACCACACACACACACACACGGTTAGACGTGTTGGCGATGGGTGTTGATGATGACAGCGTACGAAGTGGCGAGTACCCGATTGAAGAGGCTCAGGAAGGACTGCTCGATTTCGATGATGTCGTGCCGCCGCTTGGCCCGCTTCTCGAGGTACTTGACCAGGCCCATGCACACGCCGCTCGACAAAATAAGCAGCAGCTCCAGCGCGCCCATGTACCACGCGTCCACCCTGCATTCCAGGCATGTCAAGAATGTCAAGAATGGAATTAAAAAATGAGTGCCAAGCGAGAGCGTGGGGGTGGCCGGCGTACCGTTGCATGAGGTCAAAGTAGCCCTCGCCCAGGATGATCATCACCAAGAAGACCACCGCTTGTGCCACCTAGAGTTCGAACGATACTTCGTCAGTGTGCGTGCGTGCGTTCGTGTGCGTGTGCGTGCGTTCGTGTGCGTGTGCGTGCGTGCGTGCGTTACAGGGGCCGTACCTCGATGAAAGTGATAGTGGTGACTTCGATCACGAATAGTTTGACCCGCGTGCTGCGATAGGTGAAGGTCGCCAAGTGACGCGAGGTCGCCCACACTCGGATCCTGCGCGGCACACGTCAGGAGAGGAACGAAAACGAACAGAGAAAGCGAGCACACGACACACACACACGACACACGACACACACACGACACACATCACACCACACACACGACACACACACACGACACGATACATGACACACACGGGAGGGTAGAGGGAGAACCAGGAGCGGAGGAGCATGACAAAGGCGGCCAGGTTGAGGAACTCGGGGAGGAACCACACGAAGAAGTAGAGGTGCAGATTCAACGGCACATGGAGCAGTACAAAGAACGTCGCTCGTGCTGCGGTGTCGCACGACACACACCGCACACGTGTGCCAAGGTGCAATCATGTGAGGAAAGAAAAGTGAAGCAAGGAGCAGAGCAGCAAGTACCGAGAGCCGAGCAAATGACGAAGAAGAGGAAAAAGTGGGTGCGTGTTTGTCGGGGCGGGTGCTTCTTCGATCGCAACAGCATCACAAATCTGTTTATTATTTATGATATTGGTTAGTTGAGATCGACAGTTTAATAAACATAAAAAGTGGATTGATTAAATTCCCTCTTTTAAACAGATTAAATTAGCTTGTTTAACGGAGGCGTTACCGAATAAAGATGGCGAGGGCACTCAATGCAAAAAGGACGAACAGGATGATGGCCCCCCCTATGTTGAGCTGGTTTGTTTCCACCACCGTTTCCGGCGGTTGCGTTGCCGCCTCCATCATCTTCCTATTGCTGACGTCAGATTTGGCCTTAATATTAATGTTAATTTAACCAAACTTGAAACTATTTGGTGGCTTTCGAAACTATTTCGAAATTGTTTGCTTTTTGTCCCAACACCATCATCCCACGTCTCTCCACTGGAGAACGACCTGGGACCTGCGGAAGCAACTGGCACAAGTACCAGGCGAGCCATTTGCGCGCAGTATCTGCTCTGTAGAGAGGAGGAGGACAGGAGTTTGCCACATAGCCGGACTGAGTTCGTGTGCATCTCTGGATTAGATTTTAAATCTCAAGTACGCCCGCACCCTCCTCCCATCCAATCTGCCGCACTCGGAGTGAGGCCTGGTTCCGATGTTTCGAAATCACGCTTCATCATCTGCCCAATCTGAAATCTGCAGATCGGCCTAGAGATGTGTGCTGCGGAGTTGTGTTTGTTTGGGTGGGCTGCAATCTTGTGAGCGCTGCTGGCCGCACACTGACACCTTCACCGCGGCTCCTTTGTGCTGCGACAGACTCACAGATCACAGAGATGGAAGGAGAACTGAAGCAGCACACAGTGGTGGTCGTGGGCAGCGGTGGCCGCGAGCACGCCATCGTTTGGAAGCTCAGCCAGAGCCCCAAGGTGGCTCACATCTACGTCCTGCCCGGCAATGGCGGTACCTATCTCACACATACTCTACATGAACACATTATATTCAAGTATATGTTTTTATTTCGTTATAATATGTTACATTTTAAAAAAAAGATCTCTTATTTTTATTTTCTACGTGCGAGCAGGTACGGAAGCGCTGGGCCGGGAGCTGGCCAAGAAGGGTGCGCCGGCGGTGGTACAGAACGTGGCCGGGATCAGCACCAACGAGGCCATCGTCGCCTTTGCCCAGGAGAAGAAGGCCTCGCTCGTTGTGGTCGGACCGGAGGCTCCTCTCGCCGCTGGACTTGGTGGTACCCACACCCGCGCACCACCGCACACGCACTCAAATGTTTTAAGTTAACTTAACACATCCACAACAGACGATTTGAACAAGGCCGGCGTGCCGTGCTTCGGTCCCTCCAAGGCAGGCGCTCAGATCGAGGCCTCTAAAGTCTTCGCCAAGGATTTCATGCATAAACACAACATCCCCACCGCCACCTACCAGGTGCCATCACCCACGCTCTCTCGTGTGTGTCGTGTGTGTCGTGTGTGTATCGCGGAGCTGACGGTGTTGTGCGCGGGTTGCCCCAGGTGTTTGACGATGCCGAGAAGGCGCTCAAGTACATCGACGACACCCCACACACGCTGGTGGTCAAGGCGTCAGGCCTGGCGGCCGGCAAGGGCGTCATCGTGCCCAAGAACAAGGACGAGGCCAAGCAGGCTGTGCGCGAGATCATGGTACCACACCCTGCGTGTCGGATTGGCACATGCGACACTCACAACTCGTTAGGTCGACAAGGTGTTTGGCGAGGCCGGCAATCTGGTGGTGCTGGAGGAGCTGCTCGTCGGACCCGAGGTCTCTTTCCTCGGCTTTTGCGATGGTACGCGCTGTGTGCGTGCGTGCGTGCGTTGAGCCAGCCTGACAAATCTCTCGCACAGGTACCACGGTGGTCCCCATGCCCGCCGCTCAGGACCACAAGAGAGCGCTCGACAATGTACACGGCCCACCGTGTGTGCCGTGTGCCGTGAGTGTCGTGTGTGATCGTGCGTTGCTCACGCTCGCATGACGTGTGCCTGTGTTTGGTGCGCGTAGGACAAGGGCGCCAACACGGGCGGCATGGGTGCCTTCGCGCCCACGCCGGCCGTCACGCCCGAGATGGCGCAGGAGTGGACCGCCACCGTGCTCCAGGCCGCCCTCGACGGCCTCAAGAAGGACGGCATTCCCTTCGTCGGCGTCCTCTTTGCCGGTACATTTTCCTTTAATCTTTCTTTCCTATTTCCCTGGCTTGTTTTTGGTTATAATGCGAAATATTTGAACTTTTGCAGGTTTGATGCTGACCAAGAATGGGCCGCGGGTGCTGGAGTACAACTGTCGGTTCGGCGACCCTGAGACGCAGGTCATCCTGCCCCTCCTGAAGACGGACCTGTTCGAGGTCATGCTGGCCTGCGTGCAGGGCCGGCTGGCCCAGCTCCGCGTCGAGTGGGCCACCGCGCGCGCGGCCGTCACCGTCGTCGCCGCCTCGGGCGGCTATCCCGACAAGTACCCCGTCGACAAGCCCATCGCCGGTCTCAACTCTCTGCCCCAGTCCATCGATGCCGTACCTCCTCCCTCCCCTCGTGTCGTGTGTCGTGTACGGTGGGTCGTGTCGTGTCGTGTCATTGCGTATGTTGACGGGTTTGTGTGGCAGGAGGGTGGCGTGTATGTGTTCCACGCGGGCACGAAGGCGGCCGCGGACGGCCAGGGGGTGGTGACCAGCGGCGGCCGCGTACTGGCGGTGACGGCCGTGAGCCCCCGGCCGGCCCAGGCCATCGCCCGGGCCTACGCCGCGCTCGACAAGATCCACTTCGACGGCATGCACTACCGCTGCGACATCGGATCCTACTTTGCCAACAACACACGTAACAACTCATCGCACGACACGCACGGCATACACGACACACGCTAACCGCACACACGACACGACACATCGTGACACACGCAGTTCGTCTGGCGGTGCTGGGGTCGACGCGGGGCACGGACATGCAGGCCATCATCGACGCCATCGCGCGCCGCGAGCTCAATGCCGAGATCGCGCTCGTGGTGAGCAACCGCGCCGACGCCTACATCCTCGAGCGCGCCCGCGCGCACGGCATCGCCCACCACTTTGTCGAACCGCGCGACGCCGATGGTAAGCTCAAGCCGCGCGAGGCCTACGATCGCGAGGTGATCGCCGCCCTTGACGGCGTCGACGGTGGCGTCGATCTGGTGCTGATGATCGGCTACATGCGCATCGTGTCGGCGGCCTTTGTCGAGCGGTTCCGCGGGCGCCTGTACAACGTGCACCCGTCCCTTCTGCCCGACTTTGCCGGCGGCATGGACCTCGACGTCCACCAGGCCGTGCTCGACAGCGGCGCCAAATTCACCGGTACCAACGACACGACCAACGACACGACACGACCAACGACACGACACGACACGACGCGTGGACTTACATTGGGGGGGGGGCTTGCAGGGTGTACGGTGCATGTGGTGACGGAGGAGGTGGACGCGGGTCCCATCCTGGTGCAGAAGCGGTGCGCCATCGACGCGACCGACAACGCCGACACGCTCAAGGCCAAGGTCCAGCACCTCGGTACGCCTCCTTTATATTTTTTTTTTGAGCCTTCGATTCCGCGTACTTACGGTCGTGCGTGTCGTGCGTCGCGTGTGTCGCGTGTGTCGTGTTATTGGGGTCCACAGAGGGCGTGGCGTTGATCGAAGCCATTCAGCTGTTCGAGCAGCAGGAGAAGCAGAAGTACCGGGCCGAAGAGGTCAAGCGCCAGCAGAGGCGCGAGAAGCGCAAGGCCGCCGAGGGACAAGGACCCGTACGTGTGGCCACCTTCGGAGCCCAATGTCGCGCGCTAACGACACGACACGACACGCGTGCGGTGGAGCAGGTGACGTACCGCAGTGCGGGCGTGGACATCGATGCAGGCAACCTGCTCGTGGAGCGCATCAAGCCCTTCACCAAGGCCACCGCCCGTCCCGGCACCTCGGCCAACATTGGTACTCACACAGCCACATACATGCCTGTAATGCGTGTCGCGTGCGTGCGTGCGTGCGTGCGTGCGTCAAATGTGTATCGATTGTGTGTTCAGTGTGTGTCGTGTTCTGACGAGTGAGTGTGCGGCAGGCGGATTTGGCGGTCTGTTCGATTTGAAGGAGGCCGGCTACAGGGATCCCCTGCTCGTGAGCGGCACTGACGGTGTGGGCACCAAGCTCAAGGTACTTAACATCCAATATTGTGTGTCGTGTGTCGTATGTGTGTCGTGCAGCTTGGATTGAAGCGTATTGTTTGTTGTTTGCGATCGTTATCAGATTGCGCAGGAAGTGAAGAAGCACGACACCCTCGGCCAGGATCTGGTGGCCATGTGCGTCAACGACATCCTCACGCGAGGTACAACGACTGTTCCACCGCACGCACCACCGCACGCACACGCAAAGGCCTGACCGGTGGTTGGTGGTATGCAGGCGCCGAGCCGCTCTTCTTCCTGGACTACTTCGCCACCGGCGCTTTGGCCGTCGACGAGGCCACCCAAGTTGTCAAGGTAACGCACGCACGCACGACACCGCGCCACCGCACGCACGGCGCACACAACACGACACGCACGGCACGGCACGGCATGACGTGACGTGCTGTGTGTGTCGCAGGGAATTGCGGATGGCTGCATGCTGGCGGGATGCGCGCTGGTGGGCGGCGAGACGGCAGAGATGCCCGGCATGTACCCGCCCGGCGAGTACGACTTGGCCGGCTTTGCCGTGGGCGCGGTCGAGCGCGACGGCGTGCTGCCCATCATGGACACCATCAAGTGCGTTCCCTCCTTTGTCGCACACACGACACACATAGCACGACACGCACGGCATGCGCGCTCATCGCACACGCACAACGCAGGGAGGGTGACGTGGTGATCGGATTGGCGTCCTCGGGTCTTCACTCCAACGGCTTCTCGCTGGTGCGGCACATCATCAAGCTCAACAACATCGACGTCTCGGCCAAGGTAACAAATGCCTCGCACCCCGCGGCTTCACGCGTTGCATTGACGCACGACACGCTGACACACGAAACACACAGCCGCCGTTCGCTTCGAAACATGAGAAGTTGGCCCATGCGCTGCTCGAGCCCACGCGAATCTACGTCAAGTCGGTGCTGCCCCTCATGAAGGCCCGCAAGATCAAGGCCGCCGCCCATATCACAGGTACCGTAGCCCTCTTCCCTCTCTCCCTCCCTTCCCCATTCTTTACGACACTCACCGCGCGTGTCGTGTCGTGTGTGTCGTGCGGTGTCGTAGGTGGTGGGCTGCTGGAGAACATCCCGCGAGTGCTGACGCCCAAGATCGGGGTCGATCTGGACGTGGCGCAGTGGAGCGTGCCGCCGGTGTTCGGCTGGCTCGCGTCGCTGGGGCAGCTCCAGCCGCGCGAGATGCTGCGAACCCTCAACGTGGGCATCGGCATGACCCTCCTCGTCGCACCCGACCACGTCGCCTCCGTCCTGGAAGCCCTCACCGCCTCTGGTACGCTCTTGCCCTCCACCGTGTGTCGCGTCGTGCTGTGTGTCGTGTCGTGCTGTGTGTCGTGTGGATTTAACATTTTGCAAATTGCAGGGGAAGACGCGCGCGTGATCGGCAAGGTCGTGCCGCGCAGACTGGACGACAGCGAGCAGGTGCACGTGGCCAACGCCCAACTGCTGGCCTCCCCCGCCCCCGCCACCTTCTGAATGCAGCAATGCGGCTTCCAAAAACATTTTGGCTGACTTACAGAGCATCGGGCTTCTTCTACTAAACTGTGCCGCTCAACTTGCACACGAGCAGCTGCGGTGAGTTGGCCCCGCAGCACGACACGACACGCACTCAGCGCTGCGCTCGTTGCTGGGAAAGGTAGTACGAAAGTCGCGATCCCGCGCAATCGCCGATAGCAAATTCTTGGCGTGCTTGTGCAACCAGCACAGCTTCATCTCTCTTGGATTAGATAAACATGAGGGTCTCTATCTTTTTGTGCGCAGGCTTGGCACTCCTTGCCCTCCTCGCGTCGGGCGCCGGAGCAAAGACGACGTGGGATGCGCTCGATCACTACTCGTTTGATCGCTACGTGGTCGAATTCAACAAGGCCTATGCCTCCGATGACGAGGTTGTGTCTCGTCGCGCCATCTTCGAGTCGCGCCTGGCCGCCATCAAGGCGCACAACCGCGACGCCTCCAAGTCGTGGAAGCAGGGCGTCAATCAACTCACTGACCGAAGCGAGGCCGAGATCAGGCAGCTTCTGGGCTACAACAAGGGGGTGGCCGCTGGCCTCGCCCCGAGGGGTGGCCTGCAGTGGGAATCTGCATGGACCGGCCTCAACGAGATCGCCCAGAAGATGCGAGCAGCGGCCATTAACCACGTCGATTGGCGCGAGAAGGGCGTCATCTCGCCCGTCAAGGACCAGGGTACCATCTTCACCGTTCTACTCGAATTAATCTCCCCTCTACCGCACTCTCCATCAAATGCTCCAATTTTCATTCATTACTCATTCTCGCAGGCCAGTGCGGTTCGTGCTGGACATTCGGCTCGTCGGAGACGCTCGAGTCCTACTGGGCGCTGGCCACCGGTCAGCTGCCCATCCTGTCCGAGCAGCACATCCTCGACTGCATCCCTAACCCCGACCAGTGCGGTGGCACCGGCGGCTGCGCGGGCGGCACTGCCGAGCTCGTCTACCGCGCCCTCATGACCCAGTCCAGCGGACTGGCCTCCGAGTGGACTTACCCGTACGTCGCCGCCCTTCGTGTCGTGTCGTTGGTCGTGTCGTGCTGTGTGTTGTGGCTCACAGCAGTGTGTGCTTGTTCTAGGTATCGTTCGTACTGGGGCGAGGCCTTCCAGTGCTCCTTCAACACCACCCGCACTCCGGTGGTGGCCAAGGTCAAGAACTATGTCGTGCTTCCCTCTAACAAATACGATCCCGTCATCGAGGTATGCCCTACGCTCTTTCCTTCCTGCGCCTCCGCGTGGTGATAACGTTGTTGTGTGTGTGTGTGTGGTGTCACGCGCTCAGGCCCTGACGACGACGGGTCCTCTGGTGATCAACGTCGACGCTTCCTCGTGGCACGCCTATGAGTCTGGTGTCTTTGACGGCTGCAACCAGACCAACCCCGACATCAATCACGTCGTTCAGGTAACCACCCCTATCACACATTCACATTCACTTTCACATTCACATTCACTTTCACATTCACATTCACTTTCACATTCACATTCACTTTTACATTCACTTTCACTTTCACTTTCACATTCACGTTCACCTCACGTTCACATTCACACGCACACGCATGAAGCTAATGTACACTGAAACGTCTGGCTGCAGCTTGTGGGCTACGGCACCGACGCCAAGGAGGGCGACTACTGGCTGGTCCGCAACTCGTGGTCGCCCGTGTGGGGCGAGAAGGGCTACATCCGCCTCAAGCGCCGCTCCAACCCCATTTGCGGCATCGACCTCAAGCCCTCGGACGGCACCGGCTGCAAGGGTGGCCCCGCCACCGTCACCGTGTGCGGCGAGTGTGGTCTGCTCTACGATGTCTCCTACCCCGTCGTCGCGACGGCCTAAGTCATGTCTTATATGTTAACTGTTGTGTTGTTCATGACACGTGCGGCTTACATTCATGTGTACAAACATGTTCTCCACCAACGTTACAGCAGTGTAGCGGATTCACATCGGGCGACGGAACCAGGCGAAGGCCGAACGCGGGACGGTGGCGACGATGGGGCAGTCCTGGGTCGGGTTGAAGCTCAGCCGCCGAGCGGCCGCGTTGTCGTACCACAGATGGCTGGTGCCCTTGTCCTCGTAGGGCTCGTAGACGCTGGGCCGGTGGTCCGTGTGCCGGCCCACCAGACGGCCGAACTCGTCGTGCTGGCCCTCGAGCTCACGGTGCTGGGCCTCGGTGAGTGCGTGGAGGGCGTAGGTCGGCTCCACGTACGGACGCTCGTGCTCGGGGTCGTCTAGGTTCTCGTCCACACCATCACCATCGGCCTGTGCTTCTTCCTCCACGTGCTGGAAGTAGACGGGCTGGCCCTTGTACATGGCGACCCCGCTCAGCGGCATGTCCCAGTAGTCGGTGTGCCAGTACATCTTCAGCTCCGGCTCTGGCTGCTCCTCAGTCTTGGTTAGGGTGCTCATTGTATCTCCTCTTCTTCTCGTGTCTTCTTGGGCTGCTTTGGCTCCGTTATAAAAACTCACACCAACCTTTCGGGGCTTGGTGCTTGCCCGACACACTCAAGGTTCTATTTATTTTTTTATTTTCACAAAAGGAACACCAGGCGAGAGTTCGCGTAGATGTGCTGCTGGAACACAAAGACATTAATACAATCGTTAAAAAAAAGAAGAGAAGGGTCAGTTTCGTGGCAGCTTGAGATAAAGTAAGTGCAAGCAGTGGCATCAGTGATAGGTGGTGGGGAATTACTGGACAGAACACAAAGAGGAAACATGGGGGGGCGTGCGTACAAAACAAGAACAAGAGAATGAAGTCGGGTGGGCAGCCTGCTATGGCAGACGCACTGCGGCAACAGTTGGCCAAGGCGGGCCGACAGGCCATGGCGATCCACCAAGGCCTCGACCTGGGCACACAAGGGCTCGGCACGCACAGGCGCAAGCGCAAGCCCGCGAGCGAGGAGCAGCAGCTGAGCGAAAGCCACGTCTATGGCCTCAAGAAGAAGAAGAAGAACGAAAGCGAAAGCGAAAGCGAAGAGAACGAAAGAGAAAAGGAGAAAGAACGAAAGCGAAGGCAGAGGCGAGAGGCGAAGGGTAAGGACAAGATGAGCGAAAGCGAGGAAGAGAGGGAAAGTGAGATCGAAAGAGAAAAGGAGAAGAAACGAAGGGAAAGGCAGGCCGAGAAGGAAAGGGAGGAGGAGGAGGAAACGGCCATGATGTTGGCCCTGGCCGTGCCAGACGTGGAATCTGACCCCTACCCCGACCCTGTGCCACCCCAGCCAGCGCCAGCCAGAAAAGGAGACAGGCAGGAGCGGGAGCCCGAAGCTGAGCTGGCCGCGAGGAGGAAGCGCAAAGAAGACGAAGCTGCCCAGAAGCGCGCCATCGAGGAGGAGGAGGAGGAGGAGAAGCAGCAGACGCGAGGCACTCGGGAGGCGGAGCTCGAGAGGAGGCTCAAGGAGGACCACGAAATGATCGATAGGCTCAAGCAGGAGCTCGACCAGGCGCGCGCGGCTGCGGAGGAGGCCCAGCGCGAGCGACGCGAGGCCCAACGAGTCGCAAGGGAGCCCGAGGCGCAGGCGGTGGCGCAAGAAGCGGCGGTGGGCGACGTGGGTCGCGTCGATGGCGGAGCGGCGATGCCGATGGAGTGGGACACAGAAGGCTTGACGGAGAGCGATCTGTCAAGCATCACCGGTTCATCTGCTTTCGTGTGTGTGCTTTTGTGTGTGTGTGTGTGTGTTGTGTGGCAACTCACCTCTCTCCTTCTCACACTAGACTTGGTGAATCAGCCCGAGCTCATCTCCGATTTCCTCGCCATGGCCGACACTCCTTCGATCCCGCACACCACCACTCTGCCACCCTCCTTACCGTCATCATCATCTTCGTCGTCATCATCACTCCACGCATCGCCCATCCCCGGCGCCGCCAATCCGCCGCTCAGGGTCTGGCCCGCACCGCCAATGGCCTGGGGTCCTCCCGGCCACCGCAGCGTTGGCCACACCCATTCGCCCACGTCGCCGCTAACCGCCGCCGCCAGCCCCACTTTTCCTCCCAGCTCGACCCGACTCCCACAGCCCTGCCCCAAATGCCACCACCACCAGCGGCAGCAGGACCCCACCACGTCGGACTTGGCGACGGAGAGAGGCGTGGACGTGCTCCTTCCGCTCCCCGCGCCGCCGCCCCACAGTGACCAGATCCAGTGGCGCTCCGTGCGGTTCGCGCTGGCTGACGACCAGGAGACTGTGGCGAGCCTCAGGAGCCGCGCGCTGGCCCGTTGGCACCTCTGGCACGCGGAAGCCGTGGGGGCCCGCAGCTCGAACGAGGAGGAGGCCGAGGCGGCCCGGGCGGCGGCGAAGGCGGCGGCGGACGGCGAGCAGGAGGACTGGGTGATCACCAGTAGTGTTGTCGCGATACAGGACACCGAGACCAGTGTGTGGGCCATTCTCCTATGTATTGGTCTGACCAGCAATTTGTGGCTTCAAAGGAAATAAACCACAAAATAGGTCTAGGGGTTGACTAACTGAGGGTGACTGCATCTCTGGTATGCAACAGCCAAGTATTTGTTGCTGCTTTGTCCGCTCCATTTGTTGTGTTGACCACATTTGTTAGGATCAAGCAACACATCCCCTCTGTTTGCCCTCACCACCGAAATGGCAACACATCTTCCTCCCTTCCCTCCAATGTCATGATGGTCTATGTTAGTAGTAGTAGTAGTGCTGTCCATCTTTGTCCAGATTGCCCCTGCCCAAGGTCAGTCCGCTACGCCCGTCATGTGGGGTGCGGGAGTTGGCCAACACCCTGGGTGTGCTGTTTTACAACCCTTCCGCATCACTTCCGGCGGGAGTGGCGGTGCCGGTGGCGCTGTTGGTGGCGGGCGTCGTGGCGTGCGTCGTGGCCTACACCGCTTACACGCGCTCGCGGGGCTGACTGGGGCTCGCTGCAGAGGCAGGCTACGCTGGAGCACGAGGTGCGGCGGTAGGGAGGCCAGCACAAGCTCAACAGGAGTCGTGGCTGCGCTCTTGAACTCTTCCTCGATGTTACACATTTTTGAGCTGATGACGTCAGCACGCAACGACCATCGCGCTCAAGCGTGGGAAAGGAGGTGGCCCTTGAGGGCGGGCATGGTCTTCTGGCTCTGGTGGCATACGTGGCACTTGAGCGGCGCCTCCAGCCACGCCTCGTACCTGGCCTTCTCGAACTACACCAACAGCAACCGCGATCACCGCAGGTCAGGCCAAGGTCAGGTCCACTACACAACCAAACTGTTGATGGCGGAGAGTGGGTGGGTCCAAACGTACGTGGATGCTGCCGTCGGTTTCGAGCGTCTTGATGAACTTGTCCGCCGGTATGAAGAACTCGGTCGTGAACGAGTTCCTACGTGCAGTGGAGGTGATAAGCTGAGGTAAGCTTGCTGTGCGCACTGCGTGTGTCTGCTTCAGCGTGTAGTGCGTACCAGTGCTTCTTCGTCTTCAGGTGCTCGGAATCAAAGTCCTGGCTAATAACATGCATCTGCGTGTGTGTCAGGCGAGCGTGTACCGTGTCGTTGGTCGTGTCGTGTGTGTTAGTTGTCAACATGAAGCACACGACGTGGCTATCGATAGGACACATGAATGTACGTGAAGTTGTCGCATTGACGGCACAGCGTGGAACCCCAGGCGGAACTTGAGCGTGCCATAGCGCGACGTCAACCTTGTGTGGATTCACAATAGTGGCAACGATGGGTGGTGAGAAATTCAAGAATGCAAGTTATGGTACGATCGTGTTGGGGGTGCCGTACTGCTCAACGGTCATCTGGCCCCGCTTCTGCATCTCCTTCAGGAGGGGCACGTCGTCGGCCGTCAGGTTGCCGTAGCCCGGAATCAGCCGACGCGGCAGGACCAACAGATGCTTGAACGCCTGGAGACACACAGAAATCATCAAAAGTCACGCACACACCCATATAAACATAACACACACTGTGCATGTGCGGCGTGTGCGTGCGGTGGTGTGCGTGCGTGTGCTGAGACACACTACCTTGGGGAACTTGTCAAAGATACACACGGTCTTGTCGTCGTATTGGTGCATGATATTTGGCGGCACTTTCTCTGCGTGGCCACGATTTGACGACGACGACGACGACGACAACGCGATGAGTGTGCGTGGTCGATCAATTCTGTGCACTTGAGGGAAGGCGCCGTACCGGGGTGAGTCGCATACGGGGTCAGCGCATCGCTCCAGCCGCCCGCTCTGGCCGGGGCCTTGGGCGCGGAGGCACCCTCCGAGGCCGCCTTTCCGCCCTTGGGCTCAGCCTCGGGCTTCTTGGCCGTCATGAGCATGCTGAACGCGTTGGCGCTGCTCTTAGGCACCGCTGGCGCTGACTTCTTCGTCTCACTGCACACGCCATATATCCAACATATTAATAACACACAAATAAATACAAAATAATAATAAGAATAATAATAGCAATAATAATAATGATAATAATCAAGAGCAGCGCACGTGGGTCGAGGCGCAAAGTTGGCTTCGTCAAAGTCTTCTTCGATTTCGTCCTCGGCCTGGGCGGACGCCTTGGTGGTGGGCGAGCCTGAGACCAGGTCCCAGAAGGTGGTGAGCAGCGAGGAGTAGCACTGGCCCAGCAAGCGATCGCCCTTGGTGTAGTCATCGTGCAGGCAGTTGTTGCGCTGCGGGTTCATGTTGGGCGCCATCACATGCACAACCTGGCGTGTTACATCGCAACACACAGGGAGTGAGCATCGCGCATGCCACGCACACACACCCACGACACACACGACACACACAAACGCACACACAAACGCACACACACATCACACACATCACACACATCACACACACACACACGCACGCACGACACATGACACACACACGCACACGACACACACCACACAACAAGCAAGCCTTGAGATCGTACGTGGTGCACTCCTTCGTTTGCGCGCAGTGGAGATGAGGTGGGCAAGGGCACGGGATACACTTGACCTGCTCGTGCCCCTCCTGATGAAAACAGAACAGTTGAAATTGAAGTCAGCCAAAATTAAGAAAGCATCAGCATCAGCATCAGCATCAGCTGCATAGCGAAGCGAACCCTTGTAGCGAGCTTTGGTCTCCTTGTCGAGCGCGGGGCCGGCCGCCTTGTTGATCGCCAGGTTGACACCGCTGCCCATGGCCGAGAACCTGAAGCGAATCTCGGCCTAGTTAAATAAATAAAAAAAAAAAGTACGACAGCTGTCGGGACGGGGCGCCGCGGCCATACCATTCGTTGGCGGCGTTGGCGATGACGCGGCACGGGATGCCCTCGGTCTTCATCTTGGTGATGTTGGCCACGCGAATCTGAAAGCGCGCATCCCGGCCCTTCCAGCACTTGCGGATCGCCGCGAGCGTCGCCGACTCAGTGATGTCGACAGCGTAGAGCCGGATGCGCGGGTCGTCGTGCTCCTCCAAGAACGCAGCCACGTGCTGTGCATTCAATCATTGGATTATTAAAAAAACAAATATAATAATAATAAATATCAAAAACAACAACAACAACAATTATTATTATTAATAATAATTACTAAAATCAGCGTGGGTGGGTACCTTGCAGGTCACTGTTGGTACGAGGCAGGAGGCGGAGCGATGATGGTGATGATGGTGATGATGGCGATGAGGGTGATGTCAGCGCGGCCACTACATTTGTGAACGACGGAGGATGGAACGAAGTACCTTGTGCGGCGCGCTCCAGGTCGTATTGGAAGACGCCGGTGCCGAAGGACGGGAACGCCAGGCTGAGGGCACCGTCGACGGCGGGCAACGCGCCACCACCCCCCTTCGGCTCCACCTTTCTCCTCTTCTGCGCCTGGGCCGTGTCCTCCTTCTCTTCTTCCTGTTCTTCCTCCTCTTCTCCCCTCGTCTCCTCCTCCAATTTCCTGCAGACATGTGTGCGAATCGCAAACGGCTTCGTGAGTGCGTGTGCTGTCGTGAGTGCGTGTGCGTGTGCGGTGGTGCGCGGTGTGTGCGGTGGTGCGGTGTGCGTGTGTGCTGCAAGTTAGCACCTTTTGTTCGTGGAAGAAATCGCGGATGGTGTGGTCGTGGTTATGGACAGGAATGTGAGGACGAAGGGGTAAGACTGGCCGCAGAAGCAGATGGTGTCGCCCGAGGCCAGTGCCTGCTCTTCGCCTTTGCCCACGTACGTCTCCTCTTCGGTTCCCTTGACGTAGCACGCATTCACGCCATTCTGCGCGGCGGCGGGTTCATCGGCCAAGAGTCCAGTGTTGCGTGCGTGTGCGTGTGCGTGTGCGTGTGCGTGTGCGTGTGCGTGTGCGTGTGCGTGTGCGTGTGCGTGTGCGTGTGCGTGTGCGTGTGCCGTGGTACCACGAGGAGACGGGCACTGAGCCGGCCGTTCTTCCGTTCCAGCGTGATGTCAGCTGGCATCAAGAGGTGCACAGTTTAAAAATATTTGTCAATTAATAATAATAAGAAAATTATGCTGAGTCCTTAGTACCTTGGGTTCTACTTACGCGCTTATCATCCAACTTGAGATTTGTGCGGCCCAATGCGGTCGTGCCCAACGGAAGCGGCACGGTTATCTTTCCATCTTCGGATTTCAGCACCGCGGCTCTTGATCCGCTCATCTCAATCGTAGATTGGAAAACGCCCCGAATGTATCTTCACAAATGGTCCTTCCTGTCGTGCTACGAAGACGAAAAATCAACGCAAGAACTTCGCGTACGCACTTGGCGCCTTTTTTTCCACCCAAGTTTTCTTCTAACAATTTAGTTTTGCATTTTCTTTTTTAAAAAGCAAACAAGTTCAGGTCGCCTCGAGTGCACACACTTGCAGAAGCACACTGCAGGCTCCACGAAGCCAGTAGTCGCGTTGGTCTCAAAGCCCAACATGCCAGCTGTCGGTGCAGCCTCGAAGTGCAGCACCTGGTCCGCGCATTAAATATATTGATTCGTTTTTCCTTTCTTTTTCATTTTAATGAAGGTTGACTGAACTCCGGACGTAGGGAAAAGGACAGACTGCCTGAATCATCTTGTCGGGTGGAGGAACGAAGAGACAGAACACGATCCAATGGAGGCGAGGAATCGTTCGTCAATCGTCATTCTTCTCATCTTGATCGTGTTCGCCTCCGTCTTCTTCCTCACCTTCCCTTCTTCCGGTACCCCCCCTCCTTCGTTCTTTATTTAATTAATTATTAATTTAAATATTTGTAAATACCTACAATATTAATAATAATAATATTCCACCTCAGGCCTTCCGTGGGCGACGCGCTCGGTCGAATGTCCGAAGGTTCTGCCCTACAGCTACGACCACTACTCTGGGCTTGACGGTAGACAGAACTCCTCCGGTTCGCCGCCATGCCGCGGCAGAGCCAACCTTCTCCAGCACTCGACCGACACCAGCCAGAGCGGGCGATTGATCCACGGACCCTGCCAGCGCTCTCGCGTCAAGGTGTGCGGTGTGTGCGGTGTGTGCGGTGTGTGCGGTGTGTGCGTGTTTTTGCCGTGTGGCGTGTGCGTGTGCGTGTGTGCCCACCAATGTTGCGTGTGCGGTATGTGTGCGGTGTGTGTGGGAGTGCAGATATTGACGTCGTGCGATCCGTCGACCGAGCACAAGGACGTGAGTATCAAGAACAAGGTGCTCTACGCCAAGCTGCAGCAGTACGACTTTGAGTGGTGGGTGGCGGCCTACCAGGCGCCGGCCGGCCAGAAGCCGCGCCCGCCCATCTGGACCAAGACCGCGCTGCTCCTCGAGGCCCTCGGCGACCGCGCTGAGGGCGATGTCCTGGCAGAGCCCCTACGACTGGCTGATCTGGCTTGACTGCGATTCGGTAGTGGCCAGGTGCGAAGCCCTCGAGATCTTCGTGTCCGTGTGTGTGTGTGTGTGTGCGCGCGCGTGTGCGTGCGTGCGTGTGTGTATGCGTGATTACTCACCAACCCTAAATGAAGCGCAGATACGACATGACGATCGAAGATATCGCTGGGGAGGAACTGAACAACCCCGCGAAAGACATCTTCATCACCAAAGGTCCGTTCCGTTCTCGCCTCATCTTCGCGAAGAGAGTCAAGAAGCACCAAATCGTCAATGATCGGCTCAAACACCAATTTTCTTTTTATTCTTTTCTTTTTCTGTGTCTCAGACGCCCACGGGTGGAACTCGGGCATCGTGGTGCTGCGCGTTTCCGAATGGAATCTGGCCCTGTTCCGCCGCATCTGGGCGTCGGAGCAGTACATCGACGACGTGTGGGCCGAGCAGCGCGCCCTCCACCATTTTTACAACACCGAAGCCGATGTACACGCACACACACACGCATACGCACACGCACACGCACACGCACACGGTCAAACGTTGTGTCTGACGGTGGGCCGTCGCATGCAGGTGCGAGACCGATTCGTCGACGTGCCGCAGGAGAGGATGCAGTACGTGCGCGGGGCGCCGCGCCACAAGGTATCCGAGGCCGAGGAGATGGACCAGTTCGTGGTCCATTTCGCCGGCGCCATCGGCCACAAGGACAGGCTCATGGCCGAGTACTACGCCAAGATCCAGCAAAGCGGCGCCTGGATGAAGCGATGACCCGTCAGCCGTGTGCTCAACATCATCATCATCGCCATCAACATCTTCTTGTAGATCAAAACAAAGCCGAGCTCTTCTTGGAAATATAAGTGAACAGCTCAAAGCCGAGCTGAATGCTCGTGGTCTCACTGGGTATGGAGGAGGCGGTGGTGGTGCAGGGCGAGGCTGACCATGGGGTCGACGCGGCCGCCCGCGTGCTTGCGCGCGTGCGCCAGGAACGAGCCGGGGCAGGACACGGCACAGTTGGAGGGCACGGCGAACAGGGCCGAGGGCTGCGGCGCCACGCGCAGGTGCGGGTAGAAGTTCCACACGACCGAGCCGCCGTCAACCAGCGCCACGTCTCCGCCAGTCTTCGCATCAGTCCAATAGAAGAACCCTGGTGTTTCCCGTTATCAGTCCTGTCATGTGTGCGGTGGTGCGTGCGTGCGTGCGTGCGTGTGCGATGTGAGTGTGCGGCGTGATACCTTCGTTGGTGACCCAGAAGTCAGAGTTGTGGAGAACGCCGTAGAGGTCGGGAGTCGGCACGACGAAGCCCGAGGCATTGAAGCCCCTCAGGAAGTCAGGCGGCACCTGCACGCCACCGTCTGGCAGTGAGCCCCAACAAATTTGGCCTACACAAAGCAAAGAACGAAGAAGACACTACGGAAAAAGAATGAAGACGAAGTGGGTGGGACGGTACCGTGCCAACGCCGGGGAAGAGGAGACAACAGTCCACGCCGGCATGCGGGGCGAACAAATAGGTGCCCTTGGGGTTGAACAGCAGGTTGCAGCCCTTTTTCCAGCCATCGCCCTGGCACCACACATTTTAGTTTGTTTTTAATGTATATATTTAAATAGATATAAGTTGTACAAATCAACTATTGCGATACATATATCCATTTCTAGCTGAGAAATAATTCGTGGGGGTGGTACGGGGATGAGTCCGGGGAGGCACAGTTCAGGGTAGGTGACGAGCGAGGCCTGGACGTTGAAGTCGTAGTAGAAGTGGGAGGTGACGTTGACGATGGGTCCGTTAAGTGGGGACTCCACCACGCTGAGCCCGAACTGCACGTCGAACTGGCGCGGCCACACGGGCTTGCGCGGAACCGCAGAAGAAGAAGCCGCAATGGCCAAAAGAACAACAACCAGGCAGAAGACGAGAGGTCGGTGCATAGCGGAGCTGTGCGAGGTGGAGATGAGCACAGCGTCGTGTTGGGCGAACACAATCGGCGACCCGTGACGGAGAGAAAAAGTGGCCGCTTTTACCTACTTCCTTCAGCCAATGGGAAAAACGCAGAAAATGGAAAACGCCCCGTTCACCTGGCGAATTTTCAACTTGCCTTTTTTGAACAGCCCAATACCAGCAGGCGTAACAAAGTCGACAAGTACCAAACAAAACTCTGCCAGACAGGGCAGGGCTCAATGCACCACAAAAAAGAAAATGGAAGACGTCACAGGTATGTTCAAGCAGCAGCCTCCATGCACATTCTACTCGCCTGCTCACCTTTAAGTTGGGCAGGCCCGCAGCCATTCACGGCCGTTCTGGTCTCCGGCATACCCGAGGTAGACACCCCCGTTTTTATTGCTGTTGCCATAGTTTTTAACACCACCCTAGGAAAGCACCGATGATGTTGAGAAGCTGTGCCGGCTCTTTGGCCCCCTCCTCTCCATCAAACGCAACTCCAAAGAGTACGCTCCTCTTTTCTTCCAATTTGGCAAGAAAAAAGAGTATAATGTTCTTCTTTTTAAAGGTCTGCGACGGTGACGTTCCGGCTCGCTCTTGACGCTGAAAACTTCTATCAAGCTTCAAGGATTGGTGTTCCTCTGGGGAACAGTAAGGTCCGCCTACGCGGCATGCATGCTCTTGTGAACCGCTTGAAGACTAAGGGTGCATCATACAACAACAGCTGGTCGTGACTCCAGCACCCAGCCAAAGTGAGGTCCCGGATCAAGGCGATCTCAAGCTCGTCTCCTACAGCGCTGGGTTCTGGCTGGGACCAGATGAGTACGTCCCTTGCTGGATTCAGGGTACCTCCGCCCTCCTGATGCTGTTACCACCTGCAAGTTGATGCTGATAGAAGGCACAGGCGAAGGACACTTGCGAGCTGCGATCGACTCTGTGGCGCGCGAGATCAAGGTGCAGCACAGTCTCTGGACGCTCTGGATCGCATTTAGTACCGTCAAGAAGGTCAGAAGCTGCTCCGGTGCGCAGGTGAACATCTACATCACCACAAGGAGCCCACCGCAACTCTACCAGCGCTTTTCGCCAGAGCACGCCCTCGTTCGCGCAACCGAGTTCCCCTCCCCGGCCGAAGATCGCTTGGGGGCCTGCACCGTGTGCTGCCTCACAATGCACCACTCGGCTGCAGATTCAATGCTGCAACAACTGCCCTGCGTTCAACGTGCGAATCGAGCGACACGAGGCGGAAGGCGGCCGGGCGTTGAGCGCAAGCCCTCGGTTCCGGTTGTCCAGCGCCTGCCTGAAAAGTTGGACTTTGCTATGAACGTCGATGGCGTCCACGACGACCTGCGCTACGGTTTGGGTTGCCTGCTCTCGGCCAATCTTCTCCACGCGGCGAACGTCAGCTCTCAATTCCTCGACGAACTGCGCCGGGGCTCCTCCGCCGAGTGCGTCGGCCACGCCGAGGCGGCCCTCTATCATTTGTGGAATCAGCGCAAGCCCATCTACGACCCGTTGAAGGCTTTCAAGCAGGCACTTTCGAGAGGAGGGCATCAAGGATTCCTACGTGCGTGGCGTGTTGTGGGGTGTTTGTCGTGTGTTGTCGTGTGTTGTCGTGTGTGTGTGTGTGTGTGTGTGTCAAGTAATGTCTCATCAACGCACAACGCCACTTGGTGACACACAGACAGGGAGCTGCCAAAGGACTATTTCATGACCCGTAGTGCGTGCGTGACCCCTTCGCGCGTGCTCCTCTTCCCCCCGCTGCCGGAGCAATCGAACCGAGTCGTGAAGAAGTACAAGACGCAGAGCAAGCACTTCATTCGCGTTTCCTTCGTTGATGACAACTTCGGTCAGCTCGACATTGTTGCGGTGCCATTCCCCTCCCTCGGTTCTTGTTGCCAGACCGCTCCGTGGTGGACCTGACCCAGCGTTTACTTGTTCAGACCAACATCCAACAAAAGGTCAGGTCCCTGCTCTGTGAAGGTAGTGTGCTGTCGAGTGCTGTCGTGTGTGTGTTGATGCATGTGTGCAATGCGTTGGTGCTGATGGCTATTGATAACAATTAGGGATACGGACACCCGTCGGGTTGTACTACGAATTCCTGGCGTTCTCTTCGAGCCAGCTGAAGGCGCGCAGCTGCTGGTTCTTACGTCCCACAGCCACAACTACGGCACAGCACATCATCTCCAAGTTGGGTCTGTATTTGGCCCGCACGCACACACGCACCACCGCACGCACCACCACACTGCACCGCACCCAAGGGCACCACAAGCAACTGGGTGGCGGCTGACACTGGTATGGTACAGGTGACTTCACCGAGAATAGGACGGTGGCGAAGTATGCTGCCCGGATCGGCCTGTGCTTCTCATCGGGCAGGACGGGAGCCAAGATGAAAGACGACCAGGTGCAGCGGCTCGACGAGATCAAGAGCGGCAACCACATCTTCTCGGATGGTGCAGGCACGCTTTCGTTGACCATGGCCCAAGAGATTTCTAAGAGACTTGGGCTCAACTACACCCCATCGGCCTACCAGGTTCGTCCTGTATCGTTATGTTGTGGCGTGTGCGTGTGCGGTGGTGCGTGTGTGGAGGTGCGTGTGTGTGCGTGTCGTTAATGGTTTTCATTGATGCCTTGATTTAGATACGCCTGGGCGGGTACAAGGGCGTTTTGTGCGTAGATTACAGTCTGGGGAACTCAGCCCAGGTGGTGCGGTTGAGGCCTTCTATGGAGAAGTTCCAATCAGATGACAAACGCCTCGAAATCCTGAGCACCAGCAAACCCATGCCAGGTCATCTCAACCACCAGGCAATCAGCATCATGAGCGCTCTGGGTGTGCCTGACGAGGCGTTCGAGAAACTACATCAGCGGACGGTACGTACCACGCACATGCACACACGCACACATGCACGCAATAACGTCGGCCTTGCTTCAGTTGACTCGATTGGAGGGCATTACTAAGAGAAAGGGGGCGAAACCCTACCTGAACCAACACGAGCTGCTACGTAACATGTTGGACAGCGGTACGAGGATCAGAAAATCACACGCACTCCGACGCACACACACACACACCCATCCCTACGTTGGCTTGATGCCTCCCCTGTGTGTGTGTATGTGTGTGCGCGCGCGTGCGCGTGGTGTGCGTGGTGCGCGGGTGTGCAAAATTATGAGCAAAGTGGTTGGTCGGCCCAATCCTGTGGCTGGGACGTCACGACCACACACACACAACATTACCACAAGTGTTCACACTTCCGTAATCGTGATCACGACCGCCAGGGCTTTCGGGAGAACCCTTCCTGGCCTACTGCCTGGCAACTATCCAGCAAAAGGAGTTGCGAGACCTCAAGAACAAAGCCCGCATCTACGTGCCCAACGTGCGTTACTCTTATTTATTTATACTGTTTTTATTTATATTTTTGTATATATTTCTCTCTATATTGATAGTTTTGAAAACTCACCGACTGGTGATCAACGATTGTTGTACAGGCTAAGACCGCGCTGGGCGTCTTGGACGAGACTGGTCTGCTCAAGAGGGGCGAAGTCTACTTCCGATGCTCTCATGGTCGCGTCGTATAATACCACCTTTGAACCTGCACGCAATCGACACACACACACACACACACACACAACATGACACACACGAGACACGGCACAGTCTTAGAGCGGTGGTTGGTACAGGTTGAAGGCGATGTCGTGGTGGTCAAGTTTCCCGCGCTGCATCCGGGCGATGTGCGCAAGTTCCGAGCGGTCAACTGCCCGACGCTTCATGACATCGAAGATTGTCTGGTATTTCCCAAGGACCACAAGCCCGGCGACAGACCGCACCCCAACGAACTGTCAGGTACGCACGTATGTTGTGTGTGTGTGTGTGGTATGTGCCGTTAGTGTCGTGTGTGTGCCATGAATGTCGTGTGTCGTGTGTCATGTAGTGCGTAAAATTGAAAAAGAAGTGCCTGAGGCCATCATCAGGTTCCGATCTCGACGGCGATCTTTACTTCGTGTGTTGGGAGAAGAGTCTCATCTGGCGTGGCAAGAACCGAAAGCCCGGCGACTACGATACGCCGCCGAAAGACGAGCAAAGATCTCAGGAGTCGCTGATCTCACGAGAGATGATCATCGACTTCTTCCTGGAGTTCATGCACAACGACTACAAGCTCGGGCAAATCGCCGACACTCATGTACGCCCACGCTGAGACTCTCTCTAGAAGTAGGACATGGGTGAATTCCTCACGTCTGTGTGTGTGTGTGTGTGTATGCGTGAGTGGTGCAGAAAGCCTACGCTGATCTTGTTGATGTGTCCGCTCCGTATTGCCTCGAACTGGCTAAGCTTCACAGCCAAGCTGTGGACTACGCAAAAAGCGGCGTGGAAGTCTCCTCTCCACGCATGACGTTCAAGGCGTTCCCCGACTTTATGAGCCGACCCAACACATCGTACAATTCGCCTAAGGTTTGTCTTTCTCACCTGCTGCGCCGCTCAAGCGACACGCAACACCATCGCAATGCTATCGAATACCAACAAGCTTGCTCGGGCAGATCTTGGGTAAGCTCTACCGAAAAGTGCAGTTGAGGGAGCCGAAGCTGAACAACGGCAACGCTGTCCAATGTGACAAGGATCTCCTGGTTGAAGGCTACGAGGTGCAGTACACTTTTGGACTGGCATGTGGCATGTTTCTCAATCGTCCCGATCTGTCATCTTATTATCACTTTTTCTTTTATTTTTATTGTTAGGACTTTGAGACCGAGGCCAAGAAACTCAAGAAAGAATACGACGCGGAGCTGCGAGGAATAATGCGCCAGTACAGCATTGAAACTGAAGCTGAGGTACAGCTTTGTTGACATATACCGACACATTGAGCATCAATTACGTTGGCGTGAAATGTGTTTGATGTGTTTCACTATGCAATCCTAACCAATCCATGCTACCACCAGGTGATAACTGGCAATGTGACCAAAGGCCACAACCGCCCCGATCTGCGCAGCAACCGTCTATTTGACCTCCCAGAGCTGCTTCGCAAGCTGGTCAGGCAGATCCAGTCCGCCTACCGCAAGAGGTTCGAGGCTGAGTTCATAGACCAACATGACATGCCACCAGAGGACCTCCAACGGCGGAGGATGCAGAAGGCAGCGGCCTGGTACTTCGTCACCTACCACCAGCGCGACGACGACCACCCGCCGCCGCGAGGCCAGGGCCGCAAGAGGGGAAAGAAGATGAAAGCCCATAATCGGCTCCTCAGCTTTGCCTGGATCATGCACGACGTGATGGGCGAGATTCTGCACAGAGGCCGAGACTGAGCATTGCGTTGCCATTACTTGTTGAACACAACATGTAGTCGTTCCCTGCCTCTGATTCCCATCACCAAAGTCGTTAGGGCTGAAGTCTGACGCTGTCAGGCAGGTTCGCTCTTTTCTTTGCCACCAGGTCCAGGCAATGGCAACGATGACCAACACCAGATCTGGGAATTCTGTATTGTGTGTGTGTGTGTGTGTCTGGAGGAAACAAAGAGTATAGTTTTGAAGAAAGTGAAGAAATGTACACATAGACATGAGGAGAGAAAAGGCTTGCTTAGGCACAGGCTACCGAGCTCAGGGTGAAGCTGGGCTTGGCGGCCGAGCTCACCACCACGCCGGCGCCCTGGCTCGCTCCCGGCTGCAGCTGACCGTAGTTGAACGCGATGTTGAAGGCGGGGCTCGTCGGGCCCTGCCTATTGAGCTCCCAGTACTGGGAGATCTCGGCACCATTGACCAGGTCAAAGGTGATCACCCCACCGTTGACCGGGCGCTGACCCCGGTTGGTGATCAGAACCTGGAAGATCTGGTACGTGCGGCCGGCGGCGTCAGTCCACACGCCGCCGTTGGCGGCCGACCGCGCCGTGAGCTCGACGATGGCGCTGCAGCCGTTGTCCCCGCTGGGAGGCTGGCTCGGCTGGGGCGTGGCCACGATCGACGGAGCCGCCGACGGAGACGCGGGGGCGGCCGATGGCGAAGGCGACGAGCTCGGGCTGGAAGGGGCTGGCGAGGGCGAGGGCGACGCCGAGGCGGAGCCGCAGTCGATGGAGGCGACGGTTATGGTGGCGGGCGAGGCCGATTTCCAAATGTAGCCGAAATGGTGGACCTGGCCGGCGGGCAGGCCGCCGCTCTGCAGTCTGTAGTCGGGCAGGACGTAGAGGCCGGCGCTGGTGCGGGTCAGCTCCCAGAGCTGGGTGAAGCCGCCGGCGCCGGTGATGGCCAGTTGGACGGACTTGACGGCGGCCGAGCCGGCGGTGAGCTGCGCGTTCCACTGGGACATGTCCACGCCATCCTGCTTCCACGCGCTTCCCAGAGTCTGCTGGACGCTCACGCTGCAATCTGCGGCGGCGTAGCTGCAGCACAGGGCAGCCAGCAAGACCAGGAGAAGTGTGATTGACTTCATACTGTTGGGGTGTGTGAAGGCTTTGCTGTGTGTTCGAAGAGAGAGAGAGAGATTGGAGCTGGTGCAGGTGTTGGAGCTGAAGAGGTTTACAACTTAATGGGCGATGTGGGTTTTTATAGCAATTGTTGAGGGTAAAGCAGGGCAGCAGTGTGTGGGCATGTGGTATGAAATCTCACTGACGCCGGAGACATTCACACTCGGTTCTATGGGCCGGCGACATGCTGCCTTGAGAGCTTATGTGGCTGGTTCAAAGTTGTTGACGAACTCACAAGCACGACTGGCATCTTAAGGTGAAACAGGTGGAGAAACCCTGGGATCTAGCAACACCCCAATGACAGCATTTTTGTGGCTGCACGGTCACAAGGCAGGACCAAACAACCACAGCCAGGGGTTCGAATCCCACCAGTTGCATTCTCTTTCTTGACAGATCTGGTCAGTGAAAAATTACCAAGACAACACACAACTGAAGATGGACAGCTTGCCCGACGAGCTGCTGCAACAGGTGTTTGTGGAACTTGGTCATCCCTCCCACCTGCCCGCCGTCGCCCTCGTGTGCCGGTAGGGGAGCCCTACCCAGAGCATCATTTATGATTATATTTATGATTATGTTTCTGTTGCGTTTATATTTGCAACAAAAATATTATATTTATTAATATTATACAGGCGCTGGCACAGGGTGAGCGTGGACAGAGCGGTGCAGAGTTTGTGGTGGTGGGGCCACCACATCCGGCGCTACCGGCCTTGCATTCGCCCAAGCACGCCAGGACTCCGACCAGAGGGCAAAAGGAAATGCCTGTCGGCCCACTGCGCCGACCTCGACATTGGCCACCTGTTCGCCGACCACATGGCACGACCTCCAATCCGCCGCACGCGCACACACCACAGCACGCACACGCCACACGCGCTTACCAGAGGTGCGCAGGTGCGAATAGAGCGACCACGGGGGAGAGTCGACGATGATGTGTAGAAAATCTGAAAAATTGGTTTGTTGTGTACATTCCTTCACATTCCGCACAGGGTGCGTGTCGTGCGCACACACGGCTCAGGTGAGACCGAAGATGGACTTGAGTATGCTGGTGGCCTTCTCCACGCCTCCGCCCTCGTCCTCCTCTTCCTCTTCCTGTTGCTGCTGCTGCTGTTGTTGGTGCTTCTTATGCTTCGGCTGCTGATGGCTGCGATGATGGCCCGATTCCTCCACTCCGCATTCCTCCTCTTCTTCAACGTTGCCGCCCTCGTCGTCATCCTCTTCGCTGTACGACCCGCGCCGGCGGAGCCACACGACCTTGGACGACGACGACGTGAACGACGCGCTCTTCTTCGTCGCCATCGTCGAAGCGCCGCCGGCGGTGGCGGCATCGGGCTGGTGCTTCTCGATCTTGTCGCGCTCCTTGTCCTTCCGCCGCTTGAGCTTGCCCGAGAACGGCTTCATCTTTATCTTCTTCGCTCGCCTTCGCGCGTCGCTGAACAGCGTCAACGATTCCTGCACAATCCGCCGCTCGTCAGCGCAATAATAATAAGCATGACAATAACTAATACATAATAATAATAATAATAATAATAATAATAATAATAATAATAATAAAAATGCATTTTGGGGCATAAACAAATAATGCATAATTCGGAACCTTTTCGTTTTTGATGATGGTGCCGGCGTCGCTGAAGCTGTGCGTCTTGCGCTCGTCTTCGTCGTCGGTGGTGCTGCTGTTGGCCTGTTGGTGGTGGTGGATCTCGACGCTGCTCTCGGCGCGCTCCATGAGCACCGTCACGTCGCCCCCCACCGTGTGTGCGGCGTCCAGCGAGGTCTTGCCCCGGTGCCGCGCCGGCAGCTTCTGGCTCACGTCGCTCTTGGCCCGGCGCTTGGCCCACAGCCGCCGCATCTTCTTCAGCCGCTTGCGCTCGCTCTCCTTGTCATCGCCACCGCCGCCACCACCGTCGTCATCGGCGTCGTCGTCGCTGTCCACCTCATCGCAGGCCTCATGCACCACGTCGTCCGCGTCGTCGTCGTTCTCGTCGTCGCTCTCCCGCCCAGGGTGGTGCAGCTTGTTGGCCTTGGACTTCCACATGTGGTGCCGCTTCTTCTCCTTGCGGAGCAGCGGACCCGGCCGCCGGAGGCCGGGCGACGTCGCGGCCCGCTCGCGTGACCGGTCGTCGTCGGCCGACGTCGTCGACGACGACGACTTCACGCCGCCGTAGACGTGGACGCGGATCCACTCGATCGTGTCGTCCAGCACAATGCTCCGCCCGAGCTCGACCAGCTTGATCGCTATCGCCGGGTCGTCCTGTTGTGGTTGTCGTCGCGTCAGTGTGCGTTGTGCGCGTTTGTGGCGTTCTGTGCCTGTGTGGCGTTTGTGTGCGTTGTGTGCGGCGTGTGCGGTGATACGTGTGTGTACCATGGGCAATTTTTCTTCCATGTGGGGGTCGAGCCGGTGATAGTTCTGGCCCAGCATGATGTTGGTGAGGAAGTCGACGTTGTTGTTGGCTGCACCGAACAGAACCTCCGTCAGCTTGGGTCCCCACTTGAGCAATCCCCAATCGTGTTGGTCGCCCTGCACCCGCGAATCACAGTTGTTAGCCTCGTTCGTGTCGCGTGTCGCGTGTCGCGTGTCGCGTGTCGCGTGTCGCGTGTCGCGTGTCGCGTGTCGCGTGTCGCGTCAGGCGTGCGTATGTACGTTGATATATTTTCGAACGGTGCCCGTGCCGAGCGAGAGGATGCGGATGTTCTCCATCGGTTGTCGATTCTTGGCCTTCAGGCCGGTCACCGTGATCGCCGCCGTCAACGAGGGATTGTTGGCCACCACTCCACCGTCCACGTGCTATGATCGTATGTCGTGTGTCGTGTGTGCCATAGGTGTCGTGTCGTGTGGTGTGTGTGTCGCGTGTCAGCGATGGCACAGCCAAAGTGTTGCGAGTTGCAAGAGAGAGACTACATGCCTTGTTGTAGGAGGGGAAGAACGACGGCGCCGAGGAAGACCCCTGCACGTACTCCCACACAGGCGTGTCGAGCACTCTCTGCGCCTCTTCTTCATCATCTGTGAGAGAAATAATGTAAATGACCCGAGATAGCTCTAATGACCATTTTCTCTTCATTATTGTTATTGTTATTGTTTTTATGTATTATTATTATAACCAGAAGAGAAGCACCTGAGTTGTCTGGGTGCATTGGAATGTTGTGGTATGCGCTGAATTGAAGAGACAAGATTTGTTAGTATGCTGCGACGTATCGTGTCGTGTGTCGTGTGTCGTGTGTGTCATGCGGCAGGTACCGAGCCATCCACGTCCGGTCGTCGCCGTCACGCATGATGTCGACGTTGTCCAGCAAGAACGACATGATGAGCAACTGCTTGGGCAGCTCTCCCATCTTGATTCCGTTCAATATCTGCGCAGTCATGAGTCGTGTCAGTGGGTGAGGCCGCAACCCACACGCACCACCGCACACGCGCCCCCTTCGGAAAGTGTACCTCTTCGCCGCAGATGCGCATGGCCGTGTGGGTGTACTTGGCCTTCTTCATGCCGAACCCTGCGACGGTGTTCATGGTCCGCTCGCCTTCGACCAGGTAGGGCATGATGCCCTCCATCAGCGCACGGATGAACATCGCCGAGCGACCTGTCGGCCACCGCTCGTGGTGAGCCAACAAAGGAAAAGGAATTATGAAATATATAACTCTAATTTGCAAATGAAATATATTTCTATCCGAAATAAAATGAAGAAAAAAGGAATCTAAAGAGAAAGGGGGGGCGAACCTGATGCGAGACATGAGCACAGCATGGAGCCTCCGGAGACCCCAGCAAATAAATTCACTCGCTCCAACAGATCCGGAAAGACGGCCACCAATCTGAGCGCGTGCCACAATGCGGGCATGTTCGTGTGTTGTGTGTCGTGTGTCGTGTCGCGTGCCGTGAGCAACACCTCGCGAACAGGGTACGGTACTGGGGAATGAGTACCGTTCGAGGATCGTGGCCTCCAGGATGCTCTTGAGACCGCCGCCGTCGAGGCAGAGGATGAAGAAGGGCCGCTTCGACTTGTTCTCATCGTCTTCCTTGGGCGACGCGGCCTCCAGACCCTCGCTGGCCGGCGCCGCCGACGCAGCGGCCCGTTCCAGCTCGGCGTCGTCGCTTTCTTTTGTGTCGACACTGGCGACGGTGGCGGCAGCGTCATCGGCCCGCCGAGGCGACGGCGGCTTGTCGTCCCGCGGCGAGTGCGGAATGTAGTCGCCGACTGACAGGAATGTTAAGTTTGAGAATTCCCTACATTCCAGGTATTAGGGGGCAGACGTACAGGGTGTTTTCCCGGTCTCGTTGTTGGCCTTCTCGACAAACTCGCGGATCACGTTGCGCAATTGAAGAGACCGGTTCACGGCTGGGTCTTTCACCGAGGTCGCTGCTTGGGCAAAACGATCAATGCATGAGCGTCGCGTGATGTGCGCACGTGTGCGTGCGTGCGTGTGGCGTCTTGTGGGCAACGTACGTGCAAAGAAGCGCATCTTGCCGTCGTTCTTGTCGTATGCAGAGTAGGGGTCCATGTCCTCCACCGAAAACTTTCTGTACCTGTTGACGCATAGGATGGAAGAGAAGAAAAAGAAGAGCGATGAGCCCAAAAAATTCATAAATCAATCCAAAGCCGAGGCTTGCCGTACTTGTTGGATTTGCGATTCTCCATCACTGTCTGCAACCACGTCGACGAAAAGTTGAAATTGGGCGAGGGCCTGTGTTCCACGCAACACCAATTATCATAATTATGATAATGATGATGACGACGACCACGATGATGATGGTGATGATGATGTTAGACATGGCGAAGCAAAGTCAGCTAAGAAGGAGACGACGTACAGTCGGATGTCGAGAAACGCTCGCGACAAAGAATTCTGGAATGTGATCAACATAGAGGGATAGAAATGTTAGTTTACACTCGTGCCCGAAATGATTGGTCGGAGGAACGAACCCCGAGATCGTCGCCGCTGCTCGCTACATCGTCTTTGTTTCGTTCTCGCTCGGGTGTGCCTGCGGCCGCGTCGGCGGCGTCGGTGATCGAACCCGGGGCGGCGGCAAGGGCCGCTCTCGAGATGACCACCTGGCTCTCGTCGATCGAGGTGGTGGTGCTCTCGCGACGCAGCATGCGCGGCACCAGTTCGGTCCACTTGCGGCTCTCTTCGGCCGGACCCAGCGAGTTGGACCGCCGCGGCTTCCGCGTAAACGGACTCGTGCTTGTCGTTGTTGACGCTGTCGACGTCGACGCCAGCGGCGGCGGCGAAAGCTCGGTGGGCGATGATGACGTGGCAGAGCTTGACGGTTGTGTACTGGCAGCGGAGGCCGATACCGAGGCCGTGGTGTCCCGCGGCGGCGTCGTGGTCACGGCGTCCACCACCGATGACGACGCCGGCGACGACGACGTGATGGTGATCGAGACCGCAGCGGCCGCTACGGTCACCGAATCCGCTGACGAGTCTTCCTCCGCCGCTTCGTTCTTTGTCGGCGAGGCGTTGATGCGCACGCGCGCCGGCGATGACTGAATCAGATGAGCCCCGCTTGCCGGCGATGATGACGATGACGTCGTCGAGCTCGAGCTCGAATCAAAGGCCGGCGGCGCCGGCAAGAGTCCACCTGTAGCCGCCGTCGCGTTGCTGTTATCCGCGGCGGATACCAGGCGCGACAGCGGCTCGTACCAGGCCGAGGCCTCCTCGTCGCTCTGAAAGTAGAACCGGGTCGTGTTCTCGAAGTCGTATTCGTTCTTCCAGGTGATGTTGAGCCACGTATCGTAGACGCGGATGACGTTCCGCTTGATCTTCGATTCCGATCGGCCCATGCGGAGGGTCTCCACCTTCCGCCCCTTGTCCACCGCCACGATCGAATCCAGCGGAATCGATTTCTTGGGGGGGTCCCAACGTTTAGTACACCGCACACGACACAACGCACGACACACGACAACACAACGCAGTTATCGGGCGTACCACGGGTCCAAGAATATACCACTCGAGGTAGTCCCCGCTCGCCACGCAGAAGTAACGGTTCCAGGAGTTCTCCTTTCGCTGCAACCAGAGGAAGTCGTACTTGGGCGGGCCGAAGCTCCTGCTGGGCCGGGTAGAGGTCTGCACACACGACACACACGACACACACACGACACACACACGACACACACGACACACGAATCGGTCAGTCCAGTCGCGAGCGGGGGAGGTGGGGGTGGTAGTGGAGGTGGTGAGGTGCCTTGGACCCCGAGTCGCGCGCTGGGGGCACCGGCGGTGATTCTTTGGGTTGCAGGTGCTTGAGCCAGGCGGTGGTCTTGCCGCATTCCATGGCGGCGAGCCGATAGCTGTCACCCTCTGCGGCGTGTTGCGCCCCGATCGACACAGTTATGTGAGTTATGCAAGAATTGAATGCGGGCGGAACCAGACCTGCTCAAGCGTACCACGTTCCTTGGTACCGCGGGGCGAGGGCATGGAGGGCATCTTCTGCCAGTTGTTGAACCCGTACTCCTTGAGCGTGATGCTGAACGGGAAGGCCTGCCATAACAACACTTATTTAGTAAAAATCAAATAAAACGGAAAAGATTTTAAAAAAAACATTAAACAACGTTCCACTACAATAATAATAACGACTGCAAATATAAATAATTATTTATAATAGGGGCGCACCTCGACATCGGCGAAGATGAACTTGGGAACGCTGATCTTATCTTCTTCCCACTCCTCCACGGACAACCGCCTGCCGCCTCCCTGCGGCCAGGTCGCCCACGCACACCGCACACACCGCACACGCACCGCCGCACACGCACAAGCACGAGTGAGGAAAAGGCCGCACGTGCTTGGAGGGGGGAGACAAGGGCGGAACGAACCTTGAAGTGGAGCCGCGCGAAGAGGAGGTGCGAGGGCTCGAGCTGCAGCAGGGCCGTGCCCATCTTGTCCCGGTCGGTGGTCACCATGGAAGGCATCAGCATCCCGCACAAGCATCGGTCCTTGGCCAACGACTCGATCTATACAGGCCAAAGCCAACCCAGCGTAGGGTCAGAATGTACGGAATGTTGTCAACAATAGCAAGTATTTCGAAAAGACCAAACGAATTGGAAAAACAATTGGGAGGCAGGTGCTTGGAGCACGTGACATGCACCCGTAATATTGGGGAATATGAACATATTAACGCTCGTTACACAGATAAAGGACGTTAAAAAAATAAGATAACTTGCCGATGTGTGACACAATACCCTTACCTTTTCAAATTGAGCCATTTCGTGGTCTTCCTGTTCGGCGATGTTGTCATCGTGGTGTGGCTTCTTCAAGGGACCGCTTCCAATCTTCCTCCAGCTGCCCTTCTTTTTCTTGTTGTCGGGCTGCTGGGGCGGAGAAGGCTGCTTGTCCTTGTGCACCACCTGGTGCTGGGTCAGCACTGACAGAGATAGAGCAGGCAGGACCGCGGCCCCCTGGCGTGACCGCGTTGTATGCGGCGACGAGGTGGGCGAGGTGGCCCTGAGCCGCGCTGGTGTCGGGCTTCGTTCTTTTTCGTCGCCGCCTCCCCCCTCTCTTCGCTCTTTTTCTGTTTCGTTCTTCTTGTCCTTTCCTCTTCGTTCTTCTTCTCCCTCGGGCGACGTCGGGTGCCCATTGCTCAGGGTGCGACTGCGCCGCCGCTTTTTGTGCACCAGGCCGTGGGCTGACGAGGGCTTGGTGTCGTCTTTGTGCGTGTCGTGCTGTATGCCGTTGTCCACCTCCTTACCCTCTTGGGTGCCCACGAGTGCCGCAGCCACTCCGGCCGTCGACGCCACTGCATCCATTTTCACTTCTTCTCGCTTACAAACTAAGCTCAGGAACGTGCAGAAGGACTCCCAGATAATCACAGCTCTCTGCGAAGTCGACAAAAACAAAAATCTCGTGCAAAAAGAAAAGAAAATCGAAATCGAAAAATTACCGATAGATGTATTTCGGAAATAATGCAAGGAATGTCGTCCTCACCTGGGTCGAACTTCCAAAAACGGAAAGGTGACGACCTCTGGAGAGGAAACAGACTTGACAAAAATCGGGTGTTGCGAGAGTGTGGACTTCGAGGCGCGCAGAGCGAGCAGGGTCGAGAGTGATTTATTCGGAAGTGAGCGGGTGGAAGGTTGAAGATGTCGCGGCTTCTCCTCTTCTTCTTGGTGCTGGGGTGCACTACTGCCTTCTTCTCCACCCTCTGTGCGGCCGACTCGTTCCTCGACGGGTTCTGGGCCGATGACGGCAAAGACGAGGCCGCCCCCCAGACTGAGAAATCGGAGGGCGACGAGGAGGTCAACATACAGAAGGAGAAGCTGAACCGGATCGCGGACGAGCAGCCCAAGCTCGAGATTCGAGACCCCACGGCCGATACCACTGCTAATCTCGAGAACACCAAGCAGGGTTCGCTCACCCACGTCATGCTTCAAGCTTTCGATCTCAACGGCGATGGCCGCCTCGACGCTGAGGAGAGGAGCAAGATCGACAAGAAGGTACTCCCCCGCATCAACTTGAGAGTCTCGAATTGAGTGATCGCGGTGGTTGATTGAACAAATAATAAGAAGTTGTTACGCTAACCCCCCCCTTCCTTCTCATCGAAGACATGGTTGGAGTTCCACCAGTCGATGAAGAACAAGGCCATGAACGCCATCCACAACGCCATGCCCACACTCAAGGAGATGAAGCAGCGCCTCCAGCAGGCTAGATTCGGCGGCGAGATCCCCAAGGTACGCTCCTGCGCTCACCAAACCAAACCACGTTTCTGCCAACTAGGTGAAGATTCATAGACGAAGAACGAACTTCACTGGTGTGTTTATCAATCTCGAGCAGGAGCTCTTCAACAAGCAGAAGCTCCAGGAGAAGGTCGACGAGCAGAGGCGAGCGGCCGCCAAGAAGGCGAAGGACGCCTACCCAGCCATCACCGTGGCGCCTGGCGTCGGAGAGCTTCACAAGAGATCGCTCGAGCACGCCAAGCGCTACACCGAGCGCGTGCAGCAAGAACAGAAGAAGTAAGAAGCAGCTGCCGGGAAGGACGAACAAACAACGTACGGAGAGGAGGGGAACACGCAAGTAAGACCAGACTAAAGAGGAGAGACAGTGCATTGGAGTTGAGGGTAAAGTGAACGAGCGTGCGCGACCATACGATCCTGAACTGCTCACCTCCGATCGCCAACGCTATTATATTGCAATCTAAAGACTCTCTACCCCAACCGCCAACCGCCAACCGCACCATAAGAATTCAAAGAGAAGAAATCATTTTCTTTTAATTTCCTTCAACAAGCCCGCATTTTCAAAGCCAATAATTTGTTTTCAACGCGAGGACAATACCGCAACAACATGCACAAGGCCGCACTGCAGGAGCTTACGGCGATTTCGCCGCTTGATGGCCGCTACTGGGCTCGCGTTGCCCCGCTGGCCGACTTCTTCTCCGAGTATGCCCTCCACAAGTATCGGGTACCTCATCTCCAGCCAATTCGACGGATTCCGATTTAATAAATCAAATCTGTGATTAATTTAAACAATGACGATTTATTAATTGATGCCCGACACCCGGATGGAAGGTTCGCGTGGAAGTGGAGTACTTCATCTCGCTGTTGGAGCTGGGCGTGCTGCCCGCGATCGAGGAGGACACCGAGCAGGCCAAGGCCAAGCTGCGGGAGATCTACACCAGCTTCACCGAAGCCGACGCACAGAAGATCAAGGACATCGAAAAGGTACCACTTCACCACCTTTTCGCTCCTTCTCTCGTGTGCCGGTTTGCTGCAGCGATGGCGGGTCCGTCTTCGCTAACCCCGTGACGTGGCGGGCGCTGGTTGGCTCGCGGCCTTTTACCTCTACACAGACCACCAACCACGACGTGAAGGCCGTGGAGTACTTCATCAAGGCCAAGTTCACCGAGTTCGGGTGGGAGAAGCAGAAGGAGTGGATCCACTTCGCCCTCACCTCGCAGGACATCAACAACACCGCCATCCCGCTGTCCATCAAGGACGGCGTCGAACAAGTCTACCTCCCGGCCCTCAAGTGCGTGATGCGCGCCGTGCCGCCCGTCGTTTTCGTTTTCGTTCTCGTTCTCGTTTTCGTTCCTCTCCCCCCCCCCATTTCGCTCTTCGCGTTCTCGTTCTTGTTTCGTGTAGTTTGGAGTGATGAATCATCAAGCTGACGACGTGTCACGACACGCCAACAGGGACAAGGTCATCGCCCCGCTGAGGAAGATGGCGCAGGAGTGGATGGAAGTGCCCCTGCTCGCGCGCACTCACGGCCAGTCTGCCACCCCTACGCGCGTGGGCCGCGAGTTGATGGTGTTCGTGGAGCGTCTCGAGAACCAGCTCGTGCACCTCGAGAACTACTCGTACTTCGGTACTCGCCCACATCGCACACGCACCACCGCACACGACGCTGGAATGCCACGAATCTACAGTCATCGCTCATTCTCTCTTCATGTATTTCAGCCAAGTTCAGCGGTGCGACCGGTGGACTGAACGCGCACGTCGCTGCCTTCCCCAAGATCGACTGGCTCGCCTTCGCCGACAAATTCGTCGCCGGTCTCGGCATGAAGCGTCTGCAGGCACAGATTCCGCTCTTCGTGTGTCGTGTGTCGTGTGTCGTGTGTCGTGTGTCGTGTGTCGTGTGTCGTGTGTCGTGTGTCGTGTGTGCGCTGACGAGCGAATGCCGCTACACAGTACACCACGCAAATCGACCACTACGACAACCTGGGCCACCTCTTCGACACCATGCGCAGAATCAACGTCATCCTCATCGATCTCAGCAGGTATTCATTCGCCTCATGTGTCGTGTGTGTCGTGTGTGTCGTGCCTTCTAACACCGACTTGTGTCTGGGTGCAGGGACGTGTGGATTTACATCTCGATGGACTACTTCAAGCAGAGGATCATCGCGGGCGAGGTCGGCAGCTCCACGATGCCGCACAAGGTCAACCCGATCGACTTTGAGAACGCCGAGGGCAACTTCGGCGTGGCCAACGCCCTGTTCGACCACTTCTCCAACAAGCTGCCCGTCAGCCGGCTGCAGCGGGACCTCACCGATTCGACCGTGCTGCGGAATGTCGGCGTGCCCGTGGCCCACTCGCTGGTGTCGTTCCTCTCGCTGGCGCGCGGGCTGGGCAAGCTGCTGCTCAACAAGCCCAAGATCGAGGAGGACCTCACCAACAACTGGATGGTCGTCGCCGAGGCCATCCAGACCGTTCTCAGGTGAGTCCACACCACACACACACACCACAGTTGTGTATTGACGTGAATTTGATGATTGATGCATGATGCACACAGACGCGAGGGAGTCAAGGAGCCCTATGAGCTGCTGAAGAAGCTGACGAGGACCAATGAGAAGGTGGACCAGACGCGGATGGAGGAGTTCATTGACAGCCTCGAGGGCGTCAGCGACGACGTCAAGCGAGAGCTCAAGGCCATCACCCCCGCCAACTACATCGGCGTCGTGCCCAAGCACTGAACAAGAATAAATTTCTTTTCTCTCTCGATTTCTCGATTTCCTTTTAAGGAGAACGTACTTCTGTGGGAAAACAAAAGGAAAAGGCGCAACGAACGAGCGCAAGGGAACTTCTCCAGCTGTAGCACAAGAAGAAGAGGAAAGAGATGCACCGCAGATTGGGGACTAGGTTGGCTGGAAGGGGCTGGACGACAAGGCAGGTAGTGGGGAGCAGGGTAGCTGTCGCGCACTTCTCCACAGCAGACCTCCCAGAGCGTGCCAAGACCGTCATCATCGGGGGTGGCTGCATTGGTTGCGGCATCGCCTACAGTCTCGTACGCTCCTTCTTCCTCCTCCTCCTTCCCTTGCGCTGGGTTCAACCAGAGCTACAACAAACAACTGTTTCTTCTTCTACATTTTACGCCACCAGGTCAAGGCGGGGGAGAAGGACGTAGTGGTGCTCGAGAAAGAGCCCGCCCTCGCCAACGTCACCACTGCGCAGGTCCACCCCTTCAAAAGCGGCATGCGGGTGCAAAAGTGCTCAGTGCTGACCTCGTACTGCAGGCAGCTGGGCTGGTGGGGCAGGTGCGGGACAACCTGGAGCGCGTGAAGCTGGCCATGTGGTCGGTCCAAACCTTCAGCGACCTGCAACAGGACTCCGACTACAACCCCAACTGGAGGTAGAGAGAGGAATAACAACCTCCTTGGTGGCTCTACACTTGCCGCAAGCTGACGCCACATGTACTCACAATTGAACATGATTCATGTCGTGGGGGGGTACAGGCAAGTGGGCAGCTTGCGTGTGGCCTACACCAAGGAGCGGCAGGAGGAGTTCAACAAAATGCTGAACGTTTGTGAGAAGGTGCTGCAACGGCGCCTAACCAGGGTTCCAGTTCGATTCACTGAACGCGTCTGTGCGTGTGTGCCGTGTTTGTGTCGTGCGTGTCGTGTCTTCCAGGCCGGCCTTCACGTGGAGACGCTCAGCCCCAAGGCCGCCCAGAAGATGTGGCCCGGCATGAACTTTGAGAAAGCCACGTACGTGTGCTTAGCTGATCATCATGGCCTGCCCTGAGGCCCCATCGTGTGCGCAGTGATGCTGATTGCGGCAGTTGATTTGCTACAGGTCCATCCTCTGGTGTCCTACGGACGGCTACCTCCAGCCCTGCGATTTGGCCTTCTCCTACCAGCACCAGAGCAGGTGACCACACACGCACCACACGACAATCGCTGGCTGCTGAGCCTTGTTGGGTGCGCGCTCGCAGGAGGATGAACGGCGCCAAGTTCGTGACCGACGCGTGGGTGGAGGACATCGAGCTCAGCCCCGAGGGGACTCATGTCAAGGCGGTAAAGACCAACCGTGGCACCATCAAGTGCGACACCGTCATCAACGCCGCCGGAGCCCACGCGTACCACATCGCCAAGGTTGGCATACTCTCGCTCAGCTTGTCGACAAAACTCAGTTAACACAATTGTTGTGGACAGCTTGTGGGGCTGGAGCTGCCGATCGTGCCGGTGAGGCACGAGTACTTCATCACTGAGCCCACGGTCCCGCCCACGATCACGCCCAACCTGCCCGTCATGAGAATTCCTGGTATTCGAGGATTGACTTACCTCAGCCTATTCGCCAGTGACTGATGGAGGTGTGTCGTGTGCGTCGTGGGTGTCGTGTGTGTTGTACAGATGCGACGCTGTACTTGCGGCCTGACGTCAACGGTTTGCTGCTGGGCGGATGGGAACCTAACGGACTGTCGCTCGATCCTCGATCGTACCCCATCACTCAGAAGCCTCCGGCCATCGCCGAGGATTGGCCTGTCCTTTCCACCTTAGGTATCTAATTCCTAGCCAAGTCTGCGTGGTGTGCGTGTCGCGTGTGTCGGTGTCATTTGATGCTGCTGACAGCTCCGTGACCAGGCGAGGAGTTGGCGCCAACCTATCCCCAGGTCAACGAACTGGGCATCAGAGCAGTCTTCTCCGGGTGGCCCACCTTCACCCCCGATGGCCGCTTCATCATCGGACCCACAAAGAAGGTCTCTTCTGATGAAGGGTGAGTGTTCGCTTCTAACAGTTTATTTCGTTCTTTGTGAGCGTAGGTGCGAGGCTTCATCATGGCGGGCGGCTGCAACGCGCACGGTGTATCGGGAAGCGCGGGCATCGGCCACCATGTCGTGGAGTCCATGTTCGAGAAGGATCCTTCGCCCTATGTGCGCAGCCTTAGCCCCGATAGGTACGCGCCTATCACCAGCATCATCTTTCGTCTTTCTCTATCGAAGAGGAACTCACCGCACACTCCCGACCGCACACGCGCACGCACGCACACACACACACCGCACTTTAAGGTTTACCGATGGGTCGTGGGACTGGGACAAGGCGGAAAAACAGGCGCGCCACATCTACGAGACCTACTACCACATCCGCAAGACCTGAGGCCACCCAGCTCAATGCATTCAGCCAAACATCCGCAGCGGATACACGTCACATTAAAGTTGAACTTTTCCCTCTATTTGCAATTCAGGTTGCACGCACAAGTTGATAATATATACTTAATTACATGTTACATAGCCTCCTCTAAAACGTAAACACACACGCTCCACTTGAGAAAACGTAGAGCCGCTCTTTGCCTCCGTTGTTTTTCTTTTCTTCACAAACTGTGCCCGTCCCAGAGCGAGTTCTGCTGCATGTCGGCCACCGAGAACCGCGAAAAGTAGGCGGGGCGGTGTTCGGGTCCGGAAGGGATGACATCTTCGTCGTCCTTGTCGAGGTTGGCCAGCCGGTCCTGTCGCAGGGCGGCCGATTGTCGCCGCTTCCTGCGCTTGTAGAGGATGGTGGTCACCGCGACCGTGGTCAGCACGACGCAAGCGAGCGGCAGGCCCACGGCCATCCCCATCATGAGCAGCATATTGTCGCCGCCGCCACCGCTGGATGACCCCGTGCCGTCGCTCTTGGCCCCGCCCAGAAGTAGGCCCAGGCCGATGGTCGGATCGTAGAACAGCGAGCTGTTCATGGGCGGGAAAACGAGCGTGAGCATGTAGACGCCACTGCTGGCCTCGTCCACGGCGACGCTGTGATTGATGGCCTGAAGCGTGCCGTCGACCTGGGCCACGTCAAACACTTCGACCTTGGCCACCATCCGCTTGGGCTGGGCTGCTCCCGCCGAGCCGAGAGACTCGGTGGTGACCAGCAGCGGCAGGTAGTAGGTGGTCGCCAGGGCGTGCGGGTAGCGCGGGACCACAATCAACGGCGTCGACTTGTCGGCCGTGGCGGTGGAGGCGGCCGCGCTGCCGTTGGCCGACGGCGGAGCGATGATCAACGCCGAGATCCCGTACTGCATGGTGATCGGCTGGCTGGCCGTGCCGCTCGGCCGTGTCTGCTCGGCGTTGCTGATGGCGACGGTGAACTTGAGCGTGCCGGGCTCGATGCGGAACGGGACCGAAGCGAACTCGGCGCTCGCGGCGCCCGAGAACATGGCCAGCTCCTGGGTGATGGTCTGGTTGTCCTCGGTGGTGGCGGTGTAGCTTACGACCTGCACGGGCGGGTCTGCCGGATCGTCGGCCGGAAGCGTCTTGGCCACCACGGTGTACTCTGCGGGCACAATTTATGGTATATCCCATAAGAAAGTCTTAGTTAGAGAGAATATATATTGATATATATATATATATATCCAGGTGGGCGAACCGGTGATGACCAGGGGCGGCGCGTCGGACCCCATTCGAATCTCTTGGAAAGTCGCGGACACACCCAAGGCGGGCGCGTCTTCTCAAAAACGCAACACATAAACGTTAGCGCAGAGAACGACAACGACACAAACGAATGCATGAAAAAGAAAGTGAAACAGAACAAACCTCCGCTCGTGGTGTCGTTGCCCCCGGTCGTCCCGTTGCCCGCGGTGGGCGAGGGCAGCGGCGCGAAGAGGGAGAAGGAGGGCTGGGTGGCGTTTATCTGGGCTTGGAGGTCCGGAATGGCCGACGTCTCGGGCGCGGGCGATGGCGACGGGCTGGGCGACGGCGACTGCGAGTTGCTCGGCGTGCTGGTGGGGGACGGTGTAGCCGAGCGGCTGGGCGAATTCGACGGGGTCGATGTGGGCGTGTTGGTGGGCGTCTTGGAAGATCCCAGAGAGGTGGACGGTGAGGTGGACGGGGAGTTGGACGGGGAGTTGGTAGGCGAGTTGGTCGGCGACCTGGTCGGCGAGTTGGTAGGCGAGGTGGTCGGAGAAGTGGATGGCGAGTTGGACGGCGAGCTGGACGGTGAGACGGATGGCGAGTTGGTGGGCGAGTTGGTCGGCGAGCTGGACGGTGAGACGGATGGTGAGTTGGTGGGCGAGTTGGTGGGCGACCTGGTCGGCGAGCTGGACGGTGAGACGGATGGCGAGTTGGTGGGCGAGGTGGACGGCGAGGTGGAGGGCGAGGTAGATGGTGAGTTGGTGGGCGAGTTGGTCGGCGAGCTGGACGGTGAGACGGATGGCGAGTTGGTGGGCGAGGTGGACGGCGAGGTGGAGGGCGAGGTGGATGGTGAGTTGGTGGGCGAGTTGGTCGGCGAGGTGGCGGCGAGCTGGACGGTGAGACGGATGGCGAGTTGGTGGGGGAGGTGGACGGCGAGGTGGTCGGCGAGTTGGTGGGCGAGGTGGAGGGCGAGGTGGTCGGCGAGGTGGAGGGCGAGGTGGTGGGCGAGGTAGTCGGCGAGGTGGTGGGCGAGGTGGTGGGCGAGGTGGTGGGCGAGGTGGTTGGCGAGGTGGTCGGAGAGGTGGTGGGCGAGGTGGTCGGCGAGGTGGTCGGCGATGGCGTGTTGGACGGCGAGTTGATGGGCGAGGTGGACGG